TCGGTTGCCTTTTAACCAGCCAGCGAGCGGCATCCGAAGTCGTCATGTTTTTGGACTTGAAAAGTTCTAAAGAATGTAGAGTGAACTCTGTCCCATGGTTCGGGGTTCGTACGCAACATCTGGTTCGGTGTAGAGTCCAGCAAGTTCAGATTGCAACATATTTATTACTCTGGGGTTGTGCCACATGCATGCCGGCCGTGGAGGCGTGACATGCCGTGCTCATCTTCTGTGTGTGAGAAGATGATTGCAACAACTGTCGTGCATTCTGAAATTGTCCTGGAAGCAATTCGCCGCATTGAGCCACCGGCGCACGCAATTCATTCCACGTGGATGAGTTGTGTGGTTGATGACAGGACGACATTGTGTCTGAAGACATTCCGACCGAGTTGGCCGGTGCCCAGGTACGTGAGTGCATGAACTTTCTGGACATATTCAAGTCATGTGAGTATACCGGATATGCAGCCCAAGAGTATTATTCCAGATCCACATTCTCCCGGAGGTGTCGAAAGACATGACCTTGCAGCCTGATGATCAGCGACTTGAGGTGCACCTTCTGACCTGCCCAAGACTTCCTGCTTACCTGTGACGAGGGCATGTTGTGCAGCGAAGCGTGCATGAAACGAATTCTTCGTTGTCTTCTTTGCAAGTTCTGTGCGAGTGTATTGCGCAGAGTCCCGTCATGGACATGGCTTGTCTACATATTGTGCCATAAGTTGTGAGAAGTATTTTGCAAGTGTCAAACTTCCCCTGCAACTCAAGCTGGAAGGCCATGTCCAAGAAGGCCGTGCTCCTATCTTTGTCGATGATGGTTTGCTGCAGCAGCTAGCATTCTTCATTCTTCGTGTGGAGTGTTGGGGTAAGCATCTTTGTGAGACACCGGTGTCGCATCTGACATGCTGGCATTTACTCGAGGCCCGAGAACTGCTGACTGGGTATGCAACGCTTGAGACCACGCTTCAAGAGCACAAGGAGAACTTCGGGCACCTGTGCTTAGGTGAGGCAGGTTTAAGGATGTAACGTTGGCAATGTCAACTTCCCATGTGCTTTTTTGTTTGGGTGAGCCAAGCTGGGAGGCCGCAATAGCACAGGCTTTCGAATTCTGGATTACGTGCCCATCTACTTGCCCCGGCTCTTTTTTGTCTCGCACGCTGTAGATGCTGCAGGACCTTCTGCAATCGCTGGTCAGTGCGAGCGAGGCAAGCAGCAAGACACGTGGCCAGGTTGCAACGGAGCGGCGGCAACACACGATCGGGCTTCACAGTTGAACTTCATGCTCCTCCGTGCTTTGGAGAACTCCGTTGCTGTGCAGCTGATCGAATTGCAACTCTCTAAATATGAAAGAAGAGAAAACCAGAGGCAAATTCCCGAATCCTTAACCGCATCCCACAGCTGCTTTTGCACGTAGTCGTCCTGAGGAAAGCAGTCGGCAGTCATATCAATCCTCCAATGCTTCTTCATGACATAGTTTTTGTGAACAAGTCTTTGAGCTGAGGCGCAAGCCGAGAAGAGCCTGCCTTCAACCTGCCAGGCACCTGTGCCCTTCGTTACATTGAGCTCAGCAGACTTTTCTGCACTTGCATATTACCATGAAATACCATGATTCTGATACTGATGAACCATCCTGGTACAGATTACGACTGCTTCAACACTGGAACCTGAAACTGGTCAGGTGCCGTGGAAGATGGGGTGAGGCTGGACTGGTGGAAGGATGCTGAAACTGGAGGTAGTCACGCTTTCGCAAGCCGTCAGGCCCACTTCGAAGGAAGGCACGTGACCTGGGCATGCCGGTTCCCATAGCACTGGACAGCCAGAGCCGCTCGGTGCCGAGGTCATGACAAGCATACGATAGCTTGGGGCCAGACTGTCCGACGCTTGGTGGTTCCGGTCGAAGGAGGAAATCATGGAGTTCTAGCGTTCGTTGAAGCAGTTTGTCTCGCCACGCGTCAAGGGACTTGTGAGGTCGTGTGCAACGGGCATGCATAAAAGACAAGTCCGATCTTGGGGGATGTTGCATGTCTGTGCTGGTTCTCCAAGCATGAGCAGATTTTGGAAGTCCATGTCTGCTGCAGTTCACCAATGCTAACAGGAACATGTCGCGAAGATGTGTTTGTGTAGACTTATCTTTTCCACCTAAGTGGTCATTCTTCTTTTAAGGGTTTTGGCTGCACTACCAACAGTACCGGAGAGGGGTCCATCCTTCACATCCCATCGAAGGCCTCTGACCAGAGCAGCTCCAAGCAGTCGAAGAAGAAGAAGCATTCAGCAGAGGCCCGGAGAGACATGCTGTTGGCTTGGCACAGCCATTCTTACTCCGTGCTGGCAGGGAGCATCGGAGCTGAGCGCTGTGGGAGCCTTGGCATCCGGAGGGCATTGCGGTGTGGTAGACATGATGCCGCTTTCTGGAGGTCGTGCCCACTACACCTCAGGCGGACACTGGCAAAGCCACCCTGCTCGTTTGGCTTTGAGGTGTGCATGTTCCCAATCGTCCCAATCGAAATATTTCGCTGCTGCGGTTGTCAAAATGTTTCTTGGATCAGTGATAAATAATCCGAGCACCTGATTAGTAGGGGGGCCCCCCCCCCCCCAGAAAAAAGGTACCAGAATTAAAATTTCCGGAACCGCATTAATGGAAAATC